TTTTAGAATATATTTATCGATAAGATATAGAGATCAACATTCCCTACCATTTTTTTTGTATTTTATGAAAAGCGCGGACTCATTTTAAGGGTGCTCCCCTGGTCGAACATCTTGTAAGTAAGATCTTGGTCAAGATCTTGGGTACAGATAAGTGAACAGATCTTGAAAATTTAGGTACAAGATAATCGTATTATCTTGTACCAAGATCTGTAATCAGATTTTGGGTACAGATGTGTAAGATCTTGGGTACAGTTATATAAGATCTTGGGTACAAATATGTAAGATCTTGGATAGACACTAAGATAAAATGTGTTGCATCTGTCACGATTTGCGTTACAATGTGCCATGCATTCTGAGAGCGTGGTTCTAAATCTATCGCGCAGCACATTTTTATTTTTTCAATTAATTTTCATTTTTATTTTTCTTGTCCCGAATAACTCAAGCAAGTCAGATACTGAGATCTGACTGGCTCTGAATTGGTCCGATCTACGTCAGACCGACTCAGGGTAGTCCGCTCTCGATCATCGATCGAGATCAGCATGTTCTCGAATATTCAATAGTCGAGAAATAGTTTATAAAAAAAATTATTTTGAAAATTTATGTCTTGTATGTTAATATCATGTTGTTTATAAACAGCGATATATGCATAAAAGAACGGTGATGACTAGTGAACATGTAATAAATATACTGACGATATCGCTGTTTGTTTTGCTCAAGATCTTGTGCCAAGATAATACTAAGCGATATCTTTGTATGATCTTATCAAGATCTTTGTTACAGATTTATCTGATACAACCAAGATCTTGATAAGATGTTGCTTATCGATCCCAAGATTTCAAGATCTTGCTTACAAGATGTTCGACTAGGGATGGGATCAGTAAGACATGAAAGTTGTTCTTTTCGATTTTCTGTATGTTTTAATCATCCTTCTCCTGGTTGATCGAGTTAATAGTTAAACATCGTATTTATTTTGATAGTTTCATCATCGGTCAATCAATTACTTTCAAAAATATGAAATTTATTTATAATGGTCTCTACTCAATTTGGACACCAGAAACAATGACTATATGAGCATTTTCTACTATTTGGGCAATATTACTTATTGTTGATATTCTCATACAAAACTTAAATTGCTTAATCTTAATCATTTAGGATAATTTAAGTTCGTCTTGTTCAGTAGAACATGGCAGCCTAATTGTTACAATGATTTCTTCATAATGCTCGCTGCTTTCAAATCAGCTTAGTAGTAGAAGAATATTATAAAAGATAAATGTATATAATCATAATCTAAACCGTGAAGTATTGTTGGTTGACGTCCAAATGAATATGTCATGACTTGAAAGATATTCTTATTATTTCAAGCATGGCAACTAAGTAAATATGCTCATATGTTCGTGCACAGTTTCATAGAAGCAGTAGCACTACATCAATGGAAAAAAGATATTGCACGAAAATCTTAGTGTAAAGCACTTTCATATGACAATACCCCTTCGCCACCGCCCCCCTCCCTTCTTCCTCAAAAAAGTCACTCTTTGCCAAAATGATCGTAACTGAGGTAAGTTCATGAAGACATAACTCGTCAGCTGCTCTTTCATAAATGACAAAAGCTTTTACTTAACGTCTCTTTGTTTTCCAAAAATTTAGAAAGGTTTTCGTCATCCTGTATTCGAAAAACAAGTCGTTTTTACAAAAATATTTTTTTTTTGTTTGAAAGCTTGTATCCAGAGCTAGCCTCCTCTCGTGCTCTTTCTTCCGAAATAAACCTTTTTATCATCATATAAAAGAACATCTCTATAGAAACAGCGCCATTTATCAAAAAATTTTTTGAATCATTGAACTTGTCATCGCTTTTGTTCACTTAAAAAGTAAGAATTTAAAAAAAAAAGGGCGACGAGAGAGACAGCATTGTGACATACTCTTTCAAGCAGAAAAAAAGTCAAATGTCTACAATGAAGACTCACAGAGAAAACTTAGAGATGCAATCAAGCTTTTTTTGACACTTCTTTGGTCAATATTTTCGTTAAATGTGGTGCTATAGTACTGAAAATTAATATACATATATCTAATTAGATCTTATTAAACTAAATACACTTCTATAGTTCTATTAATTTGATATTGTTGTTGTTATTCAAAAGTATATATTATTCTATTAAAAATATCGTAATAATTAATAAGTTGATGATCTTTCTAGTTGAGATCTATTGTTCGTGCTCTAACATCCATTCTATTCTTGATTCATATGAAAAAAGTTTAACAATATCAGTCTCTCTGAGACTAAATTGTAGAACACATGTATGTTCTTTAGTTTGATTATGCTAATCGAGAATACGTACTGTGAGAAGTCTCAAATAGATTATAGTTGTTTGCCAAAGTTAATGCATCGTCAGATAAATGATTTTTATTAGTTATTTCTGCGTTTTGAACAATTTTTTTTCTTTTACTTTTATTATCGCTCTATCTTTTGTTTGCCGTATTGCTATTTGCTGATTATTAGTCTATTTCATATTTCATTTTTCTGAATGTAAAATTATTATTGTAACTATTGGTTTAACGGATAAGTAAGCCTCTTCTATATGTCTATTATATTCGAAGCAGATATCAATGCATTTTTATGCATTTCGATGAACTCAGAAACATTGAAATTAAATATTCCCAAACTTATAACTTGATCAATTTCTACTTTTTAATGCTGATTGTTTGATGAATGTAGGCATATCAATACGAAAACAACAAGATCATCGTTGATATCTATCATATAATTATCTATCTGTGTAAAAATCAGAAACTGCGATATTTCAAATACTCAAAATTTGCTGCAGCCATTTAAATTTCAAGATGGACTTTAGAATGCTCCAAAAATCGTAAGCTTTGTCGTTAATATCGTTTATCATTCTTTTTCGTTGCTAAGAAACTATGGTAAATGAATCTGGTATCTGTTGTTGTCAGTTACTAAAATAACGCAATCATTGGCCGGTGCATATTCTCATTCCTAAAGCCTAAACTAGGATGAAAAAGAGTCAGCAAACTCTGACTTGAAACTTGGACTTCCTAATTTTCTTCGAAATGCTGTATGTGAGTTCCACAAAATAGGATCATTCAATCAAGCAGTAAGCTCTATATTGAAGATAAACCAATGATTAGATATGCTTACATCAATCATCTAGACAATAAAATATCATAAAACAAAACAATATCATTTTCGTTTCGTATTATTTTTATTGATACTTAACCTAGAATAAAATCAGTAAATAGCGATATTTTTTATGGAAAATACTTTTTCACACAATCAGAACAAAAGTCTGTGTCAGGACAAAAATGTAGGCGTCGTTTGTGCTCACCAAATGTAAATTTTTTTTTACAAGTATCACAATATGCTACTCCATTTGCTTTATAGTACTCTTGACATGCCTTTTTCTGACTCTTCGATGTTTTATCCAGTATTGTATAGAGAAAATGTATTTGTTCTGCTTGCTGTTTGACTAATGCATTGAGTTCATCTATCATTGGTTGCACTTTTACTAATGGGCATTCACTAATGTGACTTTGTATTTTATCCCGTTGACCCTTCCAATCACATTTAAGATGGGCTGCTGGACATGATATTAGTACTTTCGTACAATTTGTACTGTGATCTTTGAAATTACCTCGTTGAATATTAATTTGCGAGCACCATTTGCATTTAACAAGTAATTGATTAAGTTGATTGAGAAAAGGACGTATGGTTACAGGATGAAAATCTTCAAGTGTCAAATCACGACGACAAGTTGGACATGTGGACATATCGCGAAAAGTATCCATGATACATTTATGACAAAATGTATGTCCACATTCATTAGCACTAACAGGATCTTCAAGTGGATCAGTGCATATTGGACAGAGGAGATCTTCATGAATTGAGTTTTCATTCATATATTCATAGTTATCACTAGTCGCCATTTAAAACACAAGAAGAAATACGCTTGTCTTTTATGTTACTTATGCGTCAATTGAAAACCGACTAGGAAGAAGTATGTTTTGATTAAAGAAAAATGGCTCTGTCGTTTTATACTTAACTGTTTTTCGTTCTGTCTTTAAGAATGCCTAATCAGACAAAGAGACTCATTTTAAAGCGCTGAAATGTGCGCTTTTTACGCAGAAAAAAAACCTTACAAGAATGATTTTTATTCTGTTACTTTTTTGAGTAGGTAACAAACGCACGTTTTAACGCTTAAAAACACATTTTTTTATCGATGTTGTCTTAGTGTGGATAGAGAAGCGTTGAAGAATGACAGTTGATGGTTATAATTTGAATATCAGAAAAACATGTAATAGTTCAATTAATCAGCAAGAAAAATTTCGTTCGTCATTTAGCATACCTTGATCACTTTATTTGATATTATCTACTTCCACTAAAAGCAAAAAAAAGACCATGTATTGTAACTTGTTACACAAAAAAAACTTGAATTCATCTACGTCTAGCATAATGATACATCAAGTTTTACATCAGAATTGTATAAATTCTCCTTCGGACAAAAAAAAAACGGCCTTTTTCCATTTCATTTTTGCATCACTTAATACGTTGTTTTAAAAAAATAAAATGTATCACAAGATGCAGCGTGAAAAGCTCTATAATCTACAAAGTAAAGCTTATTTCAATTATGTACTTTTGTTTTCAAAAAAAGCAAAATTCAGTGTGACCAATATTCGACGCTGCGAAAGGATCATTTTTCTACATCAATGAAAAATGCCTTTCTTCTTATTTCAATAAACTGTTCTGCGTAAATTGTAGAGCTTTTCACGTTGCATATTGTGGTATATTTTTTTTTTTTTACAAAAACATATTAGTTGATAAAAAGATGAAATAAGGAAAAAGGAATTTCTCGTTCGCATAGAAAAAAATGATTTTTTCCCAGCGTTGAAAATTGGTCGCACACAATTTTGCTTCTTTTGAAAACAAAAAGTACAAAATTAAAATAAGCTTTACTTTGCACATTGTAGTTCTTTTCACGCTGCATCTCCTGGTATATTTTGTTTTTCTAAAACAACTTATTAAGTGATGCAAAAATGAAATGGAAAAAGGGCGTTTTTTTTGTCCGAGAGAGAATGATGGCAACCGGTCGCTATGTTGCAATCTTGTAAAAATTCTTCATCTTCTTGGCTCATACTGGTGCCGATGTTCACGTATTTAATTACAAGATCTATATCTATACTATATGTACAAAGAGTGAAATGTATTACATTTAATTATTACTAACTTCTTTTCCATTAATATCTCTACATTACTGCTTCATCGGTTAATTCATAAATTAGAGCTCATTATCAACAAACTATATTATATGAGCTGATGGAAGTTAAGAACTATATCGTCATATACAGCAACTTTGTTTATCAGGTGCTAATATTAACGATAAAAGTATTTGTATCATGTATAGGAAGCTTATGGCTCTTGAATTACTTCCATCCTCACTTGTATTTTGAAATTTTTGGGGATCTTTATGAAAGCGTTCTTTTAGCATGTTCAACAGAACTTGATTCATTCAGACCTCTACTTGATTATTTTGAAAATCAATGGATTAAACAGGTCGATCTTAGTAAATGCAATGTTTATGAAATTCAGATTACAACGAACAACATTGCAGACGTAGAGCATTGGTTAATATTTCAAGACTACCATGATTCATATATATTTTTTGGATTTCATAATCGTCTGAATTTACATATTGCACAGCATCATCCGAATATATGAACTTTCATTCGATGTGTACAAGGAGAAAGAAACAGGTTTAACCATATCCTGATTCAAATACTATGTGATCTTGCAGCTAGATAAAAAACGACTACAAAAAAAAGAACGCAATGTAACAGCATATTGATACACTATATTGACGTTTTCAAAATAACAATATTACTGTAGATGAACTCTTAAAGAAATTTGTCCTATGTAGTCGTGAAAAATAC